AAAACAACAGTCAAGAATTAGAAGTACAAAACGAGGATTTGTAAAGAAGAATGTCAGAGGATTTCGATATAAGCCAAGAGGAGACTGGTTTTCCTTTGTTAAAGTAAGGAAACTTTGCTTCCTTTGATCCTGTAAACAAACGTTGGTTTTCACGAGACTCGCATGCACAATTCTAAACTCATACGTCATCCGCTATTGCTTCCGTGTACAACTGTTGGCGCAAGCTACATTAAAGTGATTATATGTTTTGAATATAGATATTTTTCTTACAAAAACGCATCGATTCGTTACAGAAGGCCTTTATTCACCCCCTGGAGCCGTGTGAGACGCTTTTTTTAATGGATGTGCACTTTTTATTTAACTTCTTTTGGACTGATGCATGCAACACCCACTGAGTGCCATTAAACAGCTTGAAAGATCAAAGAATATAACTCCTATAACTCCGACTGGATTCGTCTGAAAGAAGAAAGTCATATACACCTATGATGGCTCTGGAACACAGCCTTAACCCTTTAATTGTAACCACTATGGAATAAACTGTTTCTACATGGCCTCTAGCTGGACCAAGTTGGTCATTAGATGATTGATCAATTGGACCTATTTAAACAAAATTCTACATTTTATTGCTTTTAGAACAAACAATTGCTCTAAATGTGATTTTGTAGCAATTTAATTACAGCAAATATTTTTTTCTGTAAATACTTTTTAGTGATGATGTCTAATTTTTTTTATAGGGAAAAATTTTGAAAAGCAGTCTCAACACAACAAAACCCCCATGTTAAATGAACACTGCTGGTGGTCATATAATAAGTGTGGATTATACTTTATAAATACCAGCAGTGTTCATTTAACGCTTGGGATGTATTCAAAAGTATATCATTACATTATTAAAAAAAATGTATGTATAAGACCAGAGGCGTCATGCCCATTCAAAGTGAGGGGGCACGTGCCCCCTCGGATTTTTGAGCCAAGTGGGTTTTGAATGCAGCTTCCAAAAGACAAAAAATAGCAGATTAATATTTTCCATATTAATACAATCACACCGGCGTGATTATAACGTTCAGTGCGTCATATCATCAGCTGCTAAATTAAAATCTGCGTTCGCTGGCTGGCGCTGAGCCAGATACAGACGCGTTTTAACAGCGCTGCACATTATAACCAATCACACACGATGTTGTTGAGCTTATGAATGCAATGGCCAATCAGAGGTGTTCAGATGAGTCATCGATAAAATGCCGGTGTTTCCTTCACTCGCTCGCTGAATGAATACCTCTTTCTAGTGAATTCTCTCGTCAGAAACAACAAAGTGCAAATGTGTGTACACAGTGTTGCGCATTATAACCAATCACACACGATGTTGTTGAGCTTATGAATGCAATGGCCAATCAGAGGTGTTCAGATGAGTCATCGATAAAATGCCGGTGTTTCCTTCACTCGCTCGCTGAATGAATACCTCTTTCTAGTGAATTCTCTCGTCAGAAACAACAAAGTGCAAATGTGTGTACGAATCTGTAAGATATTAATTTCAGAGTGTAAACAGCTTCAGTGATTTTAATGGGAGTTTTTGAGAGTGCTTGATCTAGACTGTCAGTGAAAATGTTCTTTGCTCTCTTTCTGTACAAAGAAAGTGTTATGAACATTATTAGGTTACTTTGACCATCGCCCACTATAGATCAACATAAAGGTGAGAATCAAGATATTTCATGATATAGTTAATGCGTTTGGGGATGTTTCGAATAAAAATGAAAAAATAAATAAAACATAAGTGTTATGTAATAAAATAACCCATCCCCCCACCCCAACTCGTGCCCCCTCAAAAATAATGAGTGCATGACACCCCTGTATAAGACAATTTACTTAATCTTTGTTTATTGCACCATAACCAAGGGGAAAAACAGAAACAAAAAGTCCTATTAAGAGACGAAATATGACAGCAAAAGCAAAACATACTGTATTTCATTGAAAATGTGAAAATACATATAAAAAAAACTAAACAAAATGGATGAAACTGAGATGTAGCCTTGGTATAATAAACCACATTTATTCTGCTGATACTCTGTCATCTCCACAACCGAGTATTCAAGTATTTCTCTAATTGCACAGGCACTGAATTCACATCGTATTTACAGAACATTTTCAGCAGTTAGTAGAAATGTGTTTTGTAGTACAAGGCTTTAGAGAGCTCAACTATAAATACCAACATCCTTCTCATCCTCAACTAAAAAGACACTAAATGTTACAATGCACATGCTATACATACACTGAAGCATATCATATATACAAAATTATACTAAGAAAATAGCTCAATCAGCAAAACTAACATGACCTCTGTGCTTCTGCCAATGACTTTGGGCTACTAAAAACCAAGAGCCATTAATGCTTTAGTTAACTGTCATGTACTGTTTCTTTAAGAGCTCTGTCATTTCTAAAAACTATTTGTATTTTTTTTTAATTATTTAAAAATCCCAATTTAATGTAATTATCAATTTGCATTTTACTGTGGTTGAAAATTCTGCAATAGAATGCTAATTTCAGGAACAGAGGACTAAAGATGTGTTTACCATCAAATAGATCTAAAAAAAAAAAAAACAATTCACATACACCTCTGAGCACAACAAAACAGTTTTTCAAAATGTTAGTTTAATAGCATGAAAATTCTACAGTGACTCATAGATTTGACCTCATTAATCAGTATCTTTGTGCAATTTTGTGCACATTTTTACGTCACGTGGAAATGCAGAAGTCACACTCAACAAAATTGATTATTGATATTTGAATGTTCAGTTTTTGATATTGCCTTAAATATGACTGAAAAAAAATGATGCAAGTTGTTACATTTTAAGGACGTTTCTCTGAAATCCAGTAAACCATCAACTTTTTTTTTCAAACATATACTGCACATTGTTACTTGCTGTATTTACTCACACTAGCACAAATACTGCAACTGGTTTAATGTGAATCTACCTCTTTGATGTGTAACAGAATTTATGAATGGCATGTTTGGAATAATAAATATGGGCCACAATAAATAACCTCTGATCAGCTATAACATGATAGACGGGACACATTTGGGAGAAAACTCACATCAAAGTCAAGAAAAAAATACATTGCTATATGAATGCACGGTTCCTCTTATTCCTCCTTGGTATGGAGAGAACATAAAGAATTTTATTTGAAGACATGAAAGTCCACATATATTCAGACAAAGGTGCACGCGTCACGTACAGAGAGTTTGTGAAACTGTAGTTCCTCATAAGTTTGAACTGAACTGTCAGCTGAAACTTCAGCCAAACATTCACTGTAGCAGTTGAACTGTCCTGCACATCCTTTGCTCATTTCTAAATAATTCCAAAAAATAATTGATATAACTAGTTCAAATAGTTTCCCAAAGGGACAGCAAATACTGGTTAAATGATGTTCTGTTAAAACATGGAAATATATGAATTCTCGTTATGCATTTATTTAGATCCTTTATAACAGTGGTTCTCAACTGGCTTTGCTTTGCATCTCACATTAGACATTACATGGCAACACAATACAGAACCAAAAATGTTTTTTATTTTCTATGATTCATATTAAGACTACGAAGAACTGCTTAGACTAACTGATATGCCAAATTATAAACATGACATAGGTCGAACAGGATAAATTACCATTTTGTAAAAACATATTTTTTTGTCAAACTGTTTTATTTTTATAATGTAATAATATAAAAAATGTATTCATATTATTATTAATATTATTGTTTAGGTCCACCAAATGATATAAACGTAAGCTTAATAGGAACATTTGTTTTTATTAATGTTTTATTGTTTTTTATAAACTATAATAATTATTAATAACCAATCAGTATTTATTATTATTATTATTATTTCTGTTTCATTTGCATTGTATTTTATAAGCTGCAATAATAATACTAATAATTATTATTATAATTATTTTATTTTATTATTTGCATTCATGTGTTGTTTTTTCTTTGCTGTCTACATCAGACAAGCCTGTGACTCTGTTTTAAGGTGACAATGCACCAGATGAGAACCCCTGCTTTATAACACTGGTTGTTACATGTGAAGATCAGCTTACATTTTGGATTCAGGACTGCAGAACACCGTCGCTTTCTCTGTCTACTGTGTGTCTTTATTTAACACACGGTCCATTAGTTGAGGAATGAGTCTTTAGAATTCACTGAATTCAGAAAAGTTTATCAACAAGAGCATCTCTTGCAAGACGTTCATGGTCTATAGAGCTGTGGTGGGACTTCAAAGGACCCGCTGGGGGCGCCTGATCAGTCTGTGCCCACTACCTTTGTGGGACTGTGCCCGTGTTCATGCCCTCTGCGACCATGTCATCCTCTACTACGTTACTGTAGCCCTCCTTCTCAATGCAGTCAGCCAGTACCTGGAGCACCAGGCGCAGCCGGCGGTCCATGGCCTCCAGATGAGGTCTAATAAGGATGGGTGACAGCGTGTCAGTCTGCAGACTTTCCTCCATCAGAGCACTCAGTCTGAACTCCTCCTTAGCCAACAGCTGAAGCCGTAAATGAGTGGACTTCTTCACCCTGAGTCAAACAGATCAACAGTTAGAATCAGTAACCAAAAACCACCAAGTCATTTCCAATTTACTCATGTATTGATTTAACAATGCATTTTCTTGTGGATGAGTAAATTAGGACGAAATTAGGACATTAGGAAATTAGTTAATTAGTGTCCGCCCACTTTTTCAGCAGCATTGGAGCATTTTACAAGACTGTGTACTTAACAGCTGAGGGAAAGAACTACAATCCCAAGAGGAATTACGAACGAGATAAGTGAATTAAAAATAAATAAACTATTTATTTAAAGTATAAAAACAATATATTTTAAGGTTATTGCAAAATATACATATATACAAATATTGTGGTATTTTGAGAGTGTAGGGAGACTCACTAGATTAACTGATTACATCAGTGCTCCATGGAAGATGGGATTTGCTTGCTGTGACTCTGATTGGTCGAATTTTCTGTACAGCATTATGGGTAATGCAGTTTTTCACCAGAAATTCTGATTTTAAACATGATTATTTAAAAAAAAAAAGTTGAAATAATGCAAACAGATGGCTTCAGCAAATCCATATACCATCGATTAACATCCTCAGAGCTCACAACAGGTCCGTCTTTAAATGTTTATAAGTTAATTGTTAAAAGTCAGGAACCTGACTGTTGTACTCTATTACAATTAATCACATAATATTAACATTCTGTAGAATAATGAAATCATATTTATAAAACAAGTTTAAATCATACTTAAATAAAGACATGATCTGCCTCAGTCAGCCGGTCTTTTCATTCATGTTTGTGCAAATGACATTTCACTTACAGGTGATATTTTATATTTGTTGAACTTCTACCATACAAATGTCTGTTAAATGATGCTTAATTTGACAGCCTTGATTTAAACAACGTTTGGAATTTCTTGCAGTGATTTGACAAATACTGAATAATAATTCAACTAATAATGCAAATACTAACCTGCAGCACTGACTCAAAGGCACCAGTATGGAGAGCTCATCATGAGAATGTTTACCAAAGCTGAAGATTAAAAGAGAAATCAGACAGACATTTTTATGACAATACTTCAGAAAACATACATAGCACTTTAATAATAATGAATTAAAGAAGCTAGCTGTATTGTGACAGATGAAAAAAAACAAAAAACGTGAATAATGTCTTACCCTCTTCCATTATCAAGGTGAATAATGAAAGTTTCATTTCCAAATTTTTCAAATGTCTCATAATGATGACGATCCATATTTCCTTTGAAGATACATAAACATTAATATGTATTACATAAATAGCTTGATTGAATTTCAGCTTCAATTTTGTTCAGAGACAAATGATGCACTTCTCTGAAATCCTCTTACCCATGAGGAAATCAAAAATGGTCATGTCCATGATGTCCAGCAGGCGTGTGCCGCTGTCATAGGGCGGCGTCTGCTTCACCTCTTCACAGTAATCAGGATCCACCTCCCACCTACACACACACACACACACACACTCCTCATTAGCTTACACTAACACACACACTGTTCAATGCAAAACAGCACAACATGATGAAGGTCACTGTAATGAGACACTAGAGGGCTCATGATAATCTGAGGAGAAACTGGATCATTAGAACTGAGCAGATAAAACAATGTTGCATGTTTAATACCCTCCTATTGAAGATTTTTATAATGAATATGTCCTGTATTTCAGCCTCTAAATCAATTATTTCAGCACTGTTCCAATGAAAGAGCTTCATGTTAGGACAGCTGATCTTTAACATTTAAATTTATATTATATATATATATATATTTTTTTTTTTGTATTTCTCTAAATAAAATGTGCTGTGTGGTCCTCACTCTGCTTTCTTGCGTTTGTGATAGGACCGTCTCCAGGGGTTTCTCCAGGTCCTGCGCTTGGCCAAGGCCAGGTCGGGCAGAAATGCTGCTAATGAGCCCTCGATCTGGTCAGGCTTCCCACACAGAGCATGCTCAGTGGAGCAGTAGTACGAACATTCACCATAGAAACAGATGTTATTGGCTGGAGGGATGATAGAGCGTAATTTAAAAAAAAAAAACTTAAATTGATGGCACTGACTAGAGTTCAGTATATTTATAATGTTGCTTTTAAAGTCAACATAAAATTAAAAATGTACCTCATTAAGGCATGTTTCTTTTGTAGAAAATGTTGTAAAAAATATGTATGTATCTCTGCATTGCTGCTTATTTACTCTGTATTGTGTTGTCTCATATAAATGAAAACTAGCAATTATAATTAATCCTCCTTCAGCATTTAGTAAAAAAAAAAATGTGCCCAGATTATTATAAATGTATTGCTTTACTTATTGCATTAAACATTTTAAGTCTAATTTACAAAACTGGTTCCTCAAATTGAAAAGAAAAATCACACTTTTAAGCAATTTCAGAGAAAATACATAAATACTGAAATAAATTGAATATTGTAAAAAGGATGAATAATACTACAATTTAATTTTGAGTTAAGTTAAATACTTTTCACAAATCAATCAAACAACATTTTTATTGAATATCCTGTTTCACACGGAAACACATCATATTATTGCACTGGCTGTGGACAGTATTTCATATTGACTTTAAATGATGGCTTTTAATCATGCAGACTGGAGTAATGGCTGCTGGAAATACAGATTTTCCATCACAAGAATAAATTACATTTTAAAATATATTAACCTCTTAACCTGCACCCCTATTTTTGAGCATTTTCTGAAAAACGACATACCCAAATAAAAATGTCTGTAGCTCTTGAACCCTGTGGTCTATATTCAGAAATCTGGTCTTGTTTGAAACTAGACACTTAGAAAATGGAAAATAGAAAACTGTTATTTAATATCGTAATAATATTTCACAACATTACTGGTTTTACTGTATTTTTGATCAAATAAACGCATCTTTGTGAGCATACGAGACTTATTTCAAAAACAATACTTTTTTTTAAGAAGGGTAGTGTATATTGCTCAATGTCAGCCTATAAAGGTAATTATATGGCACAAATCTGAAGTTGGTGTCAAATGAGGTCTCACTTGAAAATTAATTGACCAACAGCGCCATCTACTGGTTACTTACAATGGTAATAAGCTAAAATGCAATGCAAAATATAATAATTAAAAAAAAGAGCACACCTTGAACTGGTGATCAGAAATGACCTTGCCTCATTTAGGGTTGTATGGGCCAAAACTAACTAACTGAAAACCATTCAGTGCTTATCAACTGATAACAGAATTAAAGAGTAAAGAGAAGAGTAAAATGTGACTCCTGCGGTGTTGTGTACCTGGTGAAATGAAAAAGGTTCTCCACAGTTTTTTGTCACGGGTCACATCTCGTATCTCTTTGGTCATATTCACCAGTCGTCCAGCCACTGGCGGCACTCGACGGAAATCCAGGATCCTGTTGATCAATCAATGAGACAAAATGATTTTTGATTTTCATAATATGTTCACTTTTACATAATAGTTCATACTGATCATAATTTACATATTAAACGTTTCATATTAATACATTATTATATTATATTATATTATTATTATTATATGTATGTATATAAACTTTTTAAATGGAATATTGCAAACTAAATTAATATACACTCAAATGACCAAATTCATATAGCAAACTATTGGGCAAAACTATGGCACTAACTTACCAGTAGAGGGCACTCAAACTATTCTACATAAAATACACTTCATAGATTTTGAATAATAAATTACTACTCTGTCAAGGGATGTTTTTTTTTTTTATCACAGCCTTTTTAGTTACTCTATATTTCATATTTCATAACTGGGGAAACAATAAATTTTCATTCATAATTTATTGTATGTTTTGACCGACCTGACCTTGAATGAAACTGAATTTATTGCTGAATGTGACAAATTTGTAGGCTTTCTTTCTGACTGAACTGGTTATGTGTTTTAAAGCCTATTCACCCTGCGTGAAAAAAAAAAAAAAAAAAAATCTCCCTGAAACCAACTAATGGACAGGGCCTAAGGGATAAAAGCACTTGAAGCTACTAATTGCCCAGTCATGCTGACAGAGATGACAGAGAGAGTTTGTGTGCAGGAGCGTTCTCCTCCGCTCTCACTGTCCGATGTATAACTCCGAGGGAACTGTGGGGCAAATGAAAAGCTGTCTTTTCAAACCACTCTTCTACCTCAATCCTGACATCCTCCCCAAAGCCACGCTACAATGAGCCTTTCCCATCGACTAAAATCAGATAATTAATGGTACTTTGTCAGATATAGCTGTGGTGGGCTTGCGAGGACAGAGAGGCCCACTGGGTGATGGTGCTTTTAAATAGAAATAACAACCTGCACTTTTGTCTAACCCAGATGAACTTTATTTAGAAAAGCTAGTGTTTTTTTTTTTTCATTTCTTGGTTTGCGCTTTCTACCCACACACATGCCTGTGTGTACAGACTAGATTTTACTCCCGGCCAGATGTGCAGATGGAAGTGAGGCGGACCAGGCCGGTCTGGGCTGGGCAGGGCCTGCTGAATGATTATACTGTGCCCAAGACTCACGCTGGGTTCATTCTGACTTATGCTCACACTGCTGGAGAGGAGAGGAGAGGCGGAGTGCTTGACAGAGAACAGCACAGGACACCACAACACGCCAGTCGTGTGAGGGACCTCCATAGAGTGGAGCAGGGCCACCACTAAAATTCTCACATTTTTATGGTTTGGCCCCCACTCCCTCAATGAGCAGAAAAAAAATCACTCCAAAAATCATCTTCTTAATGATTATTTAGTTTTTCTGTAAAAATAAACATTCTTAAAAATAATAAAACAATAAAGATCAATAATAATCCTTTTCTCCAGTAATTTTTTTTTTGTTTATGTCCAGTGGTCCTGACAGGGCCTAGGACAATATTTCCAGCTGTCCACCCCTGACTGATCACACTGATGAGGAGAAAACGAGACGAGAATGGAAATAAACTATAATGGCAATAAATCCCTGAGTCTCAGATCACAATCGGGGAAAATCTGACTCATATAGCAAACAACCAATACATTCGACTGAAATGAGCTGACAAGGACAGATGTACATGGGTTATTGTGGCTGACACGAATTAAAGCCTCTCAATCACTGACATTCATCAGATGGGTAATCACCTCTAAGCAGACAATAATGGATGGAGCTCGATTGGTGATCAGATACTGACGGATGTGTTTGTGTGAGTCATTATGTTCTCTCTGGATTTGGTGTTTATGAGTGTTAAACTGCAGGTTTCTGACTGCTTACTGCCCCGAGATACACTCACAGTCTGTACTTTCACACATACATATAAACACAAGTTCAAACGTGCAGGACCACAAGCGTTATACATTCACAGGCACACAAAACATTCTTGTGCAAATAAATGCAGCCCCAACGGTTCATATACACAAGCAGGCAAACATTTATAAGTGGCATATGGTGGATGTATACATACACATATAGAGTCAGGGGAAGACAAACATCTCACACACACACACTATTCATGCCGGAGGCTGACATTTATGACCCGTTACCTGTCTAGATGATATGCTGCGATCTCAGCGTTGTGCCTCTCGAAATCGGAGAAGTAGAAGAAGTCTGGGGGTGTCTCCTGCTCCCGTGTCTGCCTGCAAGGCAAAGGTTAATCTGCTGTAAGTCCCTTTCATCAACAAAGCCATAATCGCAGCCCTAGCCCATGAAACTAAAGCCACCCTGAGAACTAGACATGGGTGTCATGTAGGCTAATAAAATATGTTTAATGGGACTGAATTTGTATTTAACGTGATTAAAATGTAATAAAAAACATTAGAAATTGGTAATTATACAACGTTTCCTTTCCAAGGTTATTCAAACAGCGAATAAATTATTATACTTCCAAAAGAGGACACGACTAGAAATCAGTGGTTAAGTTGTATTTATAACACTGTTCCAGAACAGTTCAACCCAATTATTCCGATGTGTCCAGCGCATTTTATGAAGGTCTGTTTCCTGATCCTGGTAGAGTAGACTACAATGCCGGCTGTTCTGACTCACAGACTATAAGTATATTTTTTTATATTTAAAGAATTTGCCACTGACGATTCAAACGTGAGTTTTGAGCAGTGTAGAGTAGCGTTTGT